AAAAAAATTGGCCATTTTTCGCACTGTAAATCCAGCAACACTGCTGCCATCTATGGCTGACACACCAGATCTTGTACATGACTGCCTGCAAACATTGGAAGCTGTTTATTCTTCAAGGCCAAATCTGAGAGACAAACAATTGATAAAAGAGTTTCAAGCAAAGAAGGGGGAGCACGGGTGGCTGGTAGCAAGGGATGGCCGCATTATCATCCCAGCTGCCTGGGTTCATGTGGTAGTAAAGAGCACTCATCATGGTACCCACTACGGACCCAGGGCCCTGGTAAGATGGATCAGTTACTATGTAACTAGAGTGGGATTAAGAGAGGCTGCCAAGGAGGTATCAGAGACATGTGAGGTCTGCCAGAGAAATAACCCATAAGGAGGGAGAAGAAAAACTTCAGGACATCAGAGAATAGGCAATGGGCCAGGAGAAGAATAGCAGGTGGATTTTACTGAGTTGCCCCGGCAACAAGAGATAAAATATCTCCTTGTCTTTGTGGACACTTTCTCTAATTGGGTTGAGTGCTTCCCATGTCGGACTGCCCAAGCCCGGGAGGTAGTCAAGACACTCCTACGAGAAATCATACCTCGCTTCGGACTTCCAAAAGGAATAGGGTCAGACAATGGCCCACATTTCATTGCACAAATTACTCAGAAGGTTTCTGAGTTCCTGGGAATCAGCTGGCATTTACACACCCCTTGGAGACCTCAGTCCAGTGGAAAGGTGGAACGTATGAATCAGACCTTAAAAAGACACCTTGCAAAGATTTGCCAAGAAGCTCGACTCAAATGGCCAGAGGCCCTACCCTTGGCCCTGTTACGAGTAAGGGTCGCACCACATTCTAAATTGGGATTAAGCCCGTTTGAAATAATGTATGGTAAGCCTTACCCTCTGAGTCTGCCCATGGGTACTGAACAACAGTTACATGTTTTAGGAGAGGGAATGATTAGAGAATATGTATGGTCCTTGGTTTCTGTTTTGTCTTCCATCCATCAGCAGGTACGGGACGTGCTGCAGACACAGGACCAGTATCCTGCCCTGGGAAATCGATTATTACCTGGGAGTTACGTCCTTGTGAAAGATTGGAACGAGGAACCACTTCGAGCCAGATGGAAAGGCCCATATAGGGTACTTCTAACGACCCCGACGGCCGCAAAGCTCGAAGGAATCAAGACTTGGATACATTCCAGTCGCCTAAAGCCGGTGGCTGGACCAGAACAAGAAGGAATCCCTGCAGACTCCGGGACCGGAGACAGAGAACAGTGGAAGGTGGAGCCAATAAGAGACTTGAAATTCCTATTCAAAAGAAAGGAACTTTGAATAATTTGACAATCTTTGATTAAGTTTTATAAGCCTTATTATGAAATTGTTCAAGGTTTTATTGTGGGGCACCCTGATCTGTCCACTCCTACTTATAGGAGGGGAAACCCTTTTACAACAAAAATTTGACCCTCAGGAAAATGTCTGGATTTATCTGGCCCGGGAAATTTTAAATAGAACGGACTTCTGCTTAGCGGGAGGGATCAATGCTCACCTGGTTTTTACCTCATGCTTAATCGCAGTACCAACCCCTTTAAAAATTTTACAAAATTATACTATGCTGAAGAATGTAGAGAAGAAAAGTACATATCAGAATATATATAAGTGGGGGACTATTGTAAAAGAGAAGAATAGAGACATGTTTTCCGTACGGGTTCAGGCAACAGCTAATGCTTCTGAATGTTTCCTAATAGTTAATTGTACTAATAATTGCTTCAAATTGAACCAAGGTAGAAGAATCCTTTGTAACAAGACCAATCAAATATCCTATGTATACAATGTTCACCTGTCGTCTTATCTATCTTCAGACCTAAGGTGAATCAAATGATTTTACAAACGAAGAAAGCTGAGAATACTAGGTTTGTGTTGAAACAAATTGAGTGGAGCAATTATAATAAAAATAATTAAAAATGCTCCAGAGGGGGAAAATGTTAGGTTTGACCTAGAAACCACTACACATAGCCCAAGCAAAAGTCTCTGTTCTGTAACTAATGCTCAATTGCAATGATAAGGAGAAGACAGTCTTAGATAAAGGAGACTTGAAAACAAAAATAGAATTAGTGGAGTAGGGCAAAGAGCTGATTTAAATATTAAGATTCACACCCCTAGGTGGGGAGAAAGTATGCTAATGAAACATACATGTATGGAAATGAGATACATAGCTAAAACACAGGTATAGAGACATGCTCAGTAAAGAACTCCTTGCGTCACTCCCTTATAACCAATTAGCAAACAAGAATGCTTATGAAGGTCCAATACTCCTGTATAAAAGATGCTTAGAATTAAAAATCTGTGTGCTTGTTACGTGAAATTATTCCGCTTGCACCTTGTATTGCTAGCAATAAATCTTTATACTTTCACTCCTGGTATCTTTATTGGCTTTTGCATACCGGGCACGATCCCAGACTTGAGCTGGGGCTCAACATCAGCAGGACCAGATGGACTTCACCTGAGAGTGCTGATGGAGCTGGCTGAGGTCATTGCGAAACCCCTGGCAAAATTATTTCAGAAATTGTGGCACACAGGGGAGATCCCTGAGGATTGGAAGAGGGCCAACATTGTGCCCTTCTTCAAGAAGGGAAGGATGAAGGACCTGGGCAACTATAGGCCAATCAGCCCAGGGAAAACCCTGGAAAAACTCATTAAAGAATCTATGCGCAATACGTTTGTTGAGGATAAGATTCTGAACGACAGCCAGCATGGCTTCATTGTGGGTAGGTCTCGTCTTACCAATCTCATCTCCTTCTATGAACAGGTCTCTTGCCACCTGAACATGGGAGAGAAGGTCGACATTATATACCTAGACTTCCAAAAGACTTTTGATCTAGTATCCCACAATATCCTTGTGGAAAAATTGGAAGATTGTGGGCTTAACTGCTCAACAGTTCAGTGGGTGGAAAACTGGCTGCATGGTAGGACCCAGAGAGTTCTCATGAATGGAGCTGTGTCATCCTGGCGAGAAGTGGCCAGTGGTATCCCTCAGGGGTCCGTGCTTGAACCAGTGCTTTTCAACATCTTTATCAATGATTTGGATGTGCAAGTGAAGAGCTCACTGACCAAGTTTGCAGATGACACCAAGTTATGGGGTAGTGTGGCCATGCCAGAAGATAGGTTGCAGATACAGGTGGGCCTTGGACAGGATGGAGAGTTGGGCAGACCGGAACCAGATGAATTTCAACACTCAGAAGTGTAAGGGGCTCCATCTGGGGGAAAACAATCCCCAACATACTTACAGGCTCAGTGGCGACAATTTGACTTGCACCACAGCCGAAAGAGACCTAGGGGTAGTAATCAACCATCGCATGAACACGAACTGGCAGTGCGATACTGTGGCCAGCAGGGCAAACAACACACATTCATTAACTGTTGCATCTCATGCAAAACTAAGGAAGTGATACTCCCACTGTACTCCGCACTGGTGAGACTGCAGCTGGAGTACTGCGTCCAGTTCTGGGTGCTGCACTTCAACAAATATGTGGAAAAACTTGAGAGGGTCCAGAGAAGAGCCATCCGTATGATCAGGGACTTTCAAGACAAGCCATACGAGGAGAGGCTGAGGGACTTCAGCCTACAGAAGAGAAGGCTGAGAGGGGACTTGGTAGCAGCTTACCACTACACTGGGGGGGGCACATCAAGAACTCAGTGAACAGGTGCTCACCAGGGAACCCCTGGGGAAGATCAGGAGCAATGGATAACAATGGAGCAACTTCCAACTCCTGGAAGGTTACTTCAGGCTCAATTCCAGGAAAAACTCCTTCACAGTCAGGGTGTCCAGACTGTGGAATAAAATCCCTCCAGTGGTGGTGCAGTCACCTACCCTTAAAATCTTCAAAAGGAGACTGGACAGTCACCTCGCTGGGGACCCCAGTTGTCTTTTCCTGCCTAGTGCAGAGGGACTGGACCCGATGATCTACAAGGTCCCTTCCAGCCCCTAACAGTCTATGAATCAATCTATGAATCATTTATCACTCAGTTACAGTGTATAATGGAAAAGATTAATGTTAACCTTTGCACCAGTAGGTATAATTTGCTCTTCTTTAGTGATGTAATCAGTCCACATGTTCCACTGCCCACTGGCCTGCTTGTGAAAATAAAAGTCGTACACACTCCCTGTTAATTGAGAAAGACAATACAAGAAAACACTGATTAGACAGCAAATACAGTACATTACATCATTTTAGCATGTGAAGTTCTACGTGTTTCCTCTTATCATTTTTCACCCCCAGGACTGAAAGGGTTAAATGAAAACATTTTCCTGATATGCCTGTTATATGCACAGAATCCAGTGCTGAGAGATGGCGAATGCTTTTGTCAATAATAGGAAGGACCCTCCCCTCCTGTTGACTCTCATGGTCAGGAAGTTGCTAGGAGCAGCCTAACTAAGCTCATTGCGCATGGCTGTATTGTCCCACCACAAACTAGGGCACATGCTGCCCATAGTTAAAGCAGCAGGAAAGGGCTCCCCACTGTGCAGGCCCCAGGCTTGGCAGGCATAGTCTCAGCAACAGCGGAAACATCTGCTGAGCACCATATTCTGCCATACACATTTGGGAGGAGTTGGCAGGGTTGTAAAGCAATGGAAAGAGCAGCATAAACAAAGTTATGAAGCATAACCTCTTTCTGGAAAGATATTGTTTTTGGTGAGCTTCACACTTTTGGGGCGCGGGTTCTCATCATCCATTCCCATTAACAAGTTGCGATAAAAGACATCAAATTTCTTTCTGCTGTCTGCATCGATGGTCCCACCAATTGTCCAAACCAAAGCAAAAAGGAAAAGTCCCTGCAGCCATAAGATGATCTGCTGACTAGACATAGTTTCACCCTCCTCAGTATTCGACTGCCTTATTTCATCTGAAAAAGGTACATTCAAATTTGGTTAAATGCCACTAATGACTGAAAATCATAATGGAAAGCCTGCTCAATAAAAACATTCTACACCTAACCTTGAGCATAGGCTTCAGCGAAGCAATACCAATTTATACTGGGTGAAAATCTGGCCGTTTCCTAGGAGTGTAACATATTGTTTTCAATTATAAATGAATCAGTAGGAAAATATCTTGAAGGGTTCTAAATATTTTATTAGGATGCTAGCAAGCAGTAGGCTAAACATATGGGCTATACCAAGAGGACCTTATTCATGTTTGTAAAGTACTAAGATCCTGAGATGAGAGGTGCTACATAAGTATTATTACCGTTAGTGAACAAAGATCTGGGCCATGTGATCCAACCACCCCTCTTCATTCTGGAGGAAGGCCTTGGGCATTTACTTGCATCAGATGGCCCAGATTTTCTATTATTACAACAAATCAGAAAAAAAGAAATATGAAAATGAGGCATTAAATGATACTTACCAAGCAGACAGGTATAGAGTCTCATCATGCTATAGGTTAGATGAATAGAGGATGTCTGTACTAAGACTTTGCACTGAAGGTGAATAAAGTCCAAGCAAGGCTGAACTAGCCACATAAACATGTCATTGACCTGTAAGCAGAAAAGGAACTTGTTATAAAGCAGCATAGTTGTCCAAATACATATACTCACTAGGGCTGTGTGAAATGGCTATGTCTCATTTCGATTTCAGATTCGGCCGTTTCAGAGGACAGCGATTCATTTTGGTGTTTCAGATCACTGCTCCGTTTTGATTCGAACAAATCTGTTGCACAGTTTCAATGCTGTTTCGGAGATTCAGATTGACTGGGGAGAGCTGCAGGAAAGCCCCCATGGCTGCCCTACCTGTCCCCATCCTCTGCCCAGCCACAGCCTAGTCCTAGCACTTAAAAAAAAACAAAAACAAAAACAAAAAAAAGTCCTGTACTCACCAGCTGCAGGAACAGTGATTGGGGCCTCTGGGAGCTCATGGCAGAGCCCCGCCCCCATACAGCACAGGGCAGCAGGGGGCAGCAGGGATCACCTCCCTCCCCCAGCAGGCACCCATGCAGCAGCTGCCTCATAGTGTGGGTACAGCGCGGCTTGGCAGCATGCTGGGAGCTGGGGCTGCTGCAAGTGACTGCTGGAGCTGCCCCAGCTCCCAGACAACATGTGGC